TTATTCTTGTCCAATTACACAAGCTAGAATCTTCATTACTATGTTAATTAGAAGTAGGGAGAGTAGATATCCCTGTCTTTTGGCTGATCAAAGTGGGAGAGCATCCAGTCTTAAGTATGACATTAACCACTGATTTGTGGGTAGGTGCTCTTTATCAAGTTGAGGAAGGACCCTTCCAACCCTAGTTTATTGAGTGTTTTTACCATGACAGGGTGATGACTTTGTCAAATGCTTTTTTCTTCATCTATTTATGATCATGTGGTTTTTGTTTCTAATTCTATTGATATTATATTAACTTTCAAATGCTGAACCAAGTTCATGCTCCTGAGATAAATCCCTCCTTACCATAGTACATAATTACTTTTATAACAGCATTTTAAATCTGAAAGAGCTATCGACACTGAGCTCTGAAGAACTATAGAAGTGCCAGGTGTGGTGGTATATGCCTGTAATCCCAGCATTTGGAAGGCTAAGGTAGGAGTAATACTAGTTTGAGAACAATCTGGGCTATATAGTGAGACCCTGTCTCAAAGAAACAATAAAAGAACTATAGAAGTTACCTGAGAAGAAGAAGAAAGAAACAGAATATTCTCAAGTATTCTAGAAAAAATAAGGGATAAGTATTTCAGAGAGAAAACTAAGTCTAAAAAGGAAGCCAGGGCCTAATTACAAAATGTCTTACTACCCACACTGAATAACCAAGACTTTTAACTGTGGAGCCATGAAATGGAGGTGAGCAGGGCATGGTAGTGTACACCTATCCCAGCACTAGGGACTAGGGAGGACAATCAAGAATTCAAGGCCAGCTGGACTACACAACAAGATCATGCTCTTTGCCCTGCCAAAAAGATAGGGAGATGACATGTTCAGATGTGACTTTAGTAAATTTACTCTGTTATAGGGAAGAGAATGTTAAAGAACAGTACGCCAGTCAGAAACTGAAATAATTTAAGAGATGAAGTAGCTTAAAGGAATAGCAATGAGAAAAAAAAATCCAAAATATTAACAGATTCCAAGATATTAAGGAAGGAAAATCAAAAGGATTTGGCTCTATTGGCAGCTGATGGAGAGAAAGCAGGGTCAAAGCATCTACTTTTGCAAACCATATAGATGTCTGTTCACTATAACAGAGAATACAGGACTAAGAGAAGAAAAGCAGGATTGGGAGTGGGGAAGTTCAATTTTTACATGTTTGGTGGTGTATGGTGTCTATGAGGTGGCCTTGAAGAATGTATGGGGCACCCAGGAAATGTGGGTATGAGACACAGGCAATTAGGACTGTAAATACAGATATCAAATTCAAAGTTGTCCGTGTGTAAATGACAACAGAATGGGATTTCATTAGCTGTTTTAGGGAGAAGTTTGGGGAAAAAACAAAAACAAAAACAAAATCCCATATCAGGACACATTTAAAAGTCAACAAAAAAATAACACACACTCATATACACACACACAAACACAAAACAGAGAGAAAGGCAATAGGCATAGAGGTTCATAAAGCAGCAGACTACAACAGCCAGAAAACCAAGAGGAGTGTGTTGGTAGGTATATGTTTGTCCCCCACTAAATTCACATATTGAAATCCTAAACCCACAATAGGATGGTATCAGAGGTGGGAACTTTGGGAGGTCATTAGGTAACAAGTGTAGTACCCTCACTATGGGATTAGTACCCAGATAAGAAGAGACAGAAAAGAGCTTGCGTCCTCTCCCTCCCTGCTTTCTATCATGTGAGGATGCACCAAGTAGATGGCCATCTGCACATGAGGAAGCAGGCCTCTTCACACACCAACTTGGCCTTTATCTTGGAATTCCCATTCTAAAGGACAGTGAGAAATAAATTTTGGCTGTTTAAGCATCAGTCTACAGCATTTTTATTACAGAAGTCAGAACTTCAAGAAGTTTGAAGAATAAAAAGATGAAGACGTCAAGTGCAGTAGAGCATTCACTTAAGATAAAGATGAAACATGCTGATGAGGAGAGAGCTGTGGGACCAGAAGCTGGATCTCAAAGGTTGAGAAGGGACCACTAAGAAAAGAAGCAAAGGCAGAGAATATGATGCCAAGCTTTCAAGAAATTTGACCGTGAAAAGGAAATAGAGAAAAAGAAATAAACAAACAAGATATTTAGCCTTTTTGAATTTTTTGTAAAAAGGCTTATGCAGAAACTAAAGAACTCTTAGTCCATATTTTAAAAAAATATGTAAAATTCCTTATGCAACCTTTTTCAATATTAAACAAGTCACAGACTTCATGTCACTGTAAATACTGCTGTCATTTTTCTACATGTCTCTTCAGTGAAGTCTTTAATTAGTAAGATTACAAAACAGCACGAGATGCATTTCTGTACTATGTGTGCCTCTCACACATCAGGCCTCATGCAAAGACAGAGGGCTGCTGAAGGCCTAAGGGAAATGCCTGCCAAACTATCTTGACTAACACACACGAGTGGAAATTAAAGTAGTGACAAGCTTATAATCCCCATCTTAAAGAAGTTATAAACAACACAGTGTCAAAGTACTGTATATTATTTGTCCAGAATCCCTTTAAGGAACACCCCCTTTAGCTTTGTGGCTATGATAGCTTATCATTAAGAGGGCCCACTCCATAGTGACTGGTCAAAGAAGTGACCAAAAGTAGTTCCAAAAAAGGAACTACTGGAGCCCTGCATAAAATTTTTATGAATAGTAAATGTATAACTTTTCTTCCTTTTATCTTGTAAACAATAAGATGGACATGTGCTCAGAGCAGCTAGTGAATGTCACTTTCTCCATCTGGCAAGTGGGTGCATGACAACAAAGCCAAAAGCACAGAAAGCAGAGACAAGGGATAAAGAGACATGAGGTTTAACCCCTCAGAACCAGCCATGACTGAAGTAAGAAAACTCACAGATTTTTCATTTCTGCAAATATATTCCTTTTGCGTAAGGTAAGCATGAGTAAATTTTTTACAACTAAAAGAATCAAGACTATTTAAAATGTCTAGCTACTTTTGTACAGTACTTTACTTGTGATAATAAAATAATAAAAATCATGCCCATATAGGTTTTTCTAAAAAGCATGCCCTCTTAAATTCTGTTCTTGCAATTCAGGCACTTGGACTCTACCCTATATGCCATACAGCACACAAAAAGAAATTCAGGAGTCATTGCATTATTATTCTAACAGATGCCAATAAAAATGTACCATAAGAAGTTATACCAGATTAATGAACATTCTTGTGTTCAAGAAGTCAAAGAAGCTGGGGATGAAGCCTCAGTGGTAAAGCACTTGCTTAGCATGTGCAAGGCACTGGGTTCCATCTCTAACAACAGAAAAAAAACCAAAAAACTCAAAGAGCACTGAATCAGGCAGGAGAAAGGTTTCAAGTCAGTCAACACTTGACACTGAAGGTAGGCAGGTCTGCCCACAGCCTCACAAGAAACTACATGTAGTAAAGTATTCTGAAAACACTGACAGATGGCACATAGTACCTTCTTCACGTCACAGACTATAGAATCAGAGTTCTTAAAAACAACTAAATCAGATCAGCATAGTAAATTTCGTAGTTATAACATATTTTCTAATCATAACCTCAAAAGTATTTATTACAGAAGGATATGGACAGATAAGGACATAAATTAAGAAATTATCAAAGCAAACTAAAAAACAAAATTTAAAACAAAACAAAAACACAAAACTGAAACCTTGCAGCCTTTCATTAGTATATGTCATCAAAGACAGCTACTCCCTGCATCATCTTACAAACCAATATCCTACCACAGAACTCTGAAACAGGTGATATCCCTAGCTTTCTTGTTTTTGCCAACATTTCCCTTGGAATGTATGGTGCTCACAATTGTCTCTGTGGTTATTCATACCCATTGGGAAATAAGACTTTGCTTTATAAGTTTTCACTGATGAGCAGTATAGTTTTATATACAATTTTAGTACTTGAGCCAATGTTTTCCACACCTAGCTGGTGTGGAGGAGACAGGTTCTTTCACCATACTTTTTGTTCTTAGTATAACTGTGACATAAAATATGCTCAGTGAATTCGAATATTTCATATATCTTAAGCACTTATACAGTATTTTAAAATAAAAAAATGTCTATCAAATGCCTGGTGAAAATTCAACGTGTAATAACTGAGGCAAGAGGAGACATTCTGGTGCTGTCAGCTGCTGGCCACTTCAAGAATGTTCACATTTTTTTATGAAAGCATTACTAATTCATAGTTTGATGTATTTCATATATATGTTGGAGAGTAAGGTAGCTAACTCTTCCCCTCAGAGAAGAACTAAGTTTACACATTAGTTTTAATGGAAATCAATGACTGCTTATTAAGAGTTTTTGTCTATGAACAAAAATTGTGGAACGAATTTCACTCACATAGTGAAAGCTAGTGTACATTTGAGTGATGTTTTCCACGATGCCTTAAAATAACTAGAACAGTCCAGGGACTGCATTCAGACAGACATAGGACCTAGGGCTTATGCTCACAATGGTCTTTGTCTTATATACACCCATCAGAAACAAGAATCATGCATTTCAAAGGACAAGATTCTCAGGAGACCAAGATGAAAACCACCCTTCCTTTCATCATTCTCATCAAGAATATGCTGAAATTGTGACCAATTACATAAAGCTGGTGGGCAAGCAATTCACAGCTTGAAGGACCAAGAAGAAATAAAAGTCTCCTTGAGCACTGCTTCCTGGAATCATGTTGAATCCTAGACAACAGGTGGCTGCCGAAGAGCTCAAAGACAGGGAAGTTTATCAAGCCAGCTAACGATGATGCTGTGTTCTGCTCTGAGACAACTATATATGAATATATGAAATGTTAACTATGCTGAAGACATACAGATCCTTGCCTGTGCCTGGTGACATCTCCCCTTCAATATCTGAACCATCACCTGCATAACAAGCAGGAAACCATTCTTACCCTCTTGGAAAAGAAAATTTTCTTCAAAATATAAAATACACAAAGCATTTTGCTGAGGCATGTTTAGCATGATACTTACAAGATTTTCCATGTCCGTGCGAGCCAGCATGTACGTTCTGACATTGCTATTCTGATGGAGCAGCGTATACAAGAGGAGCGTTGCTTTATCAGATGTTTGCTGTTCACACAGGGCTGTGTACAAACTATTAAAGTTAATCTGGAAGGCATGTGGAATTGACGAAGGGAAAGGACTGCTATCTAGAATATAGGGGAAAAAAATTAAACCAGCATTGAATATTTATATAAAGTCTTTATATTTTATACTCAAATTATTACTTTATATTTTAAACTTTACTTTAAAAAGAAAACAAGAACTAAACCACAGTTTAACTGTCACTATTTTCCCATAAATATAGCTGGACTGAAGTGGCTTTGAGAATATACCCTTAGGAGGATTCCAAGATGGCGACTACAGGGAGGAAGCAGAAAGCATGCCTTCTAAAGTAAAATCTTGGAGAGACGGTGGAGATACACCTTTCAGGAAAAACTTTGGCCCCCCAACCCATGCATAGCATCTCCACATCACGTTAAACAGAGAAACCAGGAGGGCCCCAGGGCCGCTGCAAGACGCTGGTACCCAAAGGCTTGGGAAGACGCAGAACACAAGGTGAGCTAAGCAGGACTCGGCACTCCCTCAGACAACCCTGGGCCAGATCAGCACAGCGCCCTGGACAGACCACCCCACCCAGGGAAAAAAGAGACTGAATAATAAGCAATAAGAACAATAAACACACGAGGCAAAGAGGGTGGGGCGCCCTGAGCGCTGAAGGGTCGGGGGAGAAAGCCTTCCAGAACTGTAAATAAACAAGCTGGAGAAGCTCAGGCCGGAGTGGGGGGGGCACAGGCCCAGCAACCAGGAGCGGGAAAGCTTGTAAAAGTAGTGGTGGGAGGAAAACTCCACAGGAGAGGGGGGACGACCCACCTCCCACATGAACTGTAAATAAACACACCGGCCTGAGAAACCAGGTGCAGTGTCACCTCCCCCTGTGTGCCTGGAAAGGGGAAAGCTTGTAGCAGTGGTTTGCCCACAGGACTCTGAGTAAACAAAGCCTGTGGGGCCAGGTGAGTGCTAAGCTCACCCCTGAGATCTGTATAAATAAAGCCTCCAGCAACAGCAAGCTGACAGCAGCGGGCAGGCGAACCACAGCCACAAATACCATTCACAGAACTGATCCAGACATTTTTTTTTTTCTTTTCTCTCTCCCTACCTTTGATGAGAAAACAACCGAACTACACCTGCAAGCTGAAAAACTTACTGAAATGGTATTGCATTTGAACATGGGACACTTGGTGGGTTTTTTTGTTTTGTTTTGTGCGGTTCTGTTTTATTTTTCCCCTTTGATGAGACAACTACATAACAACATCTGAGGCACCATCTCCAGGATTGGAGGCTGAGGAAAAACACCAAAATTACTAAGACTGAAACTTTATAGCATTTGAACTTGGAGATTTTTTTTATTTTTATTTTTTACTTTATTTATTTTTTTCATATTTTTTTCCATTTATTTATTTTTTATTTTTATTTTTATTATTTTATATTTTATTTTCAATCCTCTCTCTGTCTCTCTAATGCCTGTTCAGCTTACAGTTGATTACTACACTGTCTCTGCCTGTTTACATATTGGAAACTTCTTTGTTCTTTGTTTTGTTTTTTTCTACTTGTTTATTTGCTTTTCCCTTTTCCTTTAACTTCTTTGCTTTCCATCTCCTCTCACCATTCCACTCTAAATATCACTAGTGCTATTATTACAAGCCAGAAAATACTTAATTGCACACATTACAGGGACAATAACAACATCAAGGGCAATGACAGGAAGACAGAAAAAACAAGGCAACCAGTTTCCCCACAGAAAAAATTAGTACAGGAACCAGAGGGAAATGAAGAAAACAGATACTCACACCCAGACTGCAAAATGAAGATAAACTATGCCAAAGAACCCAATGAAGCCCACAAGAATAATCTAAAAGAAGTAATACTACAAGCACTCAATGAGAATTTTATAGAGATGATACTGGATATGGTCAACCAAAATGAACAGGAGACACTCAAGAATTCCAAGACAACAAAAATAGAGAATTTAAAAAAGCAAAAGAAGAAATAAAGGAAACCATAGAAGCACCAAATAAACACCAAAGTGAAACAGAACATGATGAATAAACAGATAAACGAACTCAGGACAAAAATAGACAACATTAAAGAAGAAATGACCCAGGATATGGAAAACCTCAGAAAAAAGAACAAAACAGAACTGCAAAACAAAACGGAAGGCCAATCCAGCAGAATAGAACAAACACAACAAAATCTCAGAACTCGAAGATGAAATGGTAATTAAAGGAAAAACTGAAGAACTATTAGTTAAACAACTCAAGACCTGTGAAAAGAAAAGGAAAGAACTCACCGACTCCATCAAAAGACCAAACCTGAGAATCATGGGCATCAAAGAAGGAGAAGAGGTGCAAGCAAAGGGAATGTGTACTATATTCAACAAAATAATAACAGAAATTTTCCCAAATATAGAGAAAGATATTCCCATACAGATGCAAGAGGCCTCCAGGACACCAACAGACCAGATCAAAATAGAACTACCCTAGGACATATCATTTAAAACAACAAGTTCAGAAACTAGGAAAGAATATTGAAGGGTAAGAGAGAAAAAACAAGTAACATACAAAGGTAAACCCATCAAAATCACAGCAGACTTCTCAACAGAAACATTAAAAGCAAGAAGAGCGGGTGAGATCTTCCAGGCACTGATGAAAATAATTCAACCCAGGATACTCTACCAGCAAAACTATCATTCAAAATAGATGGAGCAATAAAAGTCTTCCATGATAAGCAGAAACTAAAACAATATGTGACACAAACCACCACTACAAAAGATTCTTTCAAGGGATTCTGCAACAGAAAGTGAAACCAAAATAACCATGAAAGGACAGGCAGCACCAAACACAGGAAAAGAAAAAGAAGAAAAGTAGAGAGTAACCCACACCAATTAATACACACAATCTTCAAACAACTAAATGACAGGGATCACCTCATACCTATCAGTACTAACACTTAATATTAACGGACTTAATTCACCCATCACAAGGAAGATCCAACAATTTGTTGCTTACAGGAGACCCATCTCACCGACAGAAACAAGCATAGGCTTAGGATGAAAGGCTGGAAGAAGATTTACCGAGCCAGTGGCCTCCGAAAACAGGCAGGAGTAGCAATACTTATCTCCAACAAAGTAGACTTCAAACCTACATTGATCAAAGAGATAAAGAAGGACATTCCATACTAATAAAAGGGGAAATAAACCAAAAAGAAATAACAATTATCAACCTATATGCATCCAATGTCAACGCACCCAATTTCATCAAACATACCCTGAAAGATCTAAAAGCATATATTAACTCCAACACAGTGGTTGTGGGAGACTTCAACATCCCATTATCATCAATAGATAGGTCATCTAAACAAAAAAATTAATAAAGAAATTCAAGATCTAACATATACAATAGATCAAATGAACCTACTTGATGTCTACAGAACATTTCATCCAACTATACATAATATACATTCTTCTCAGCAGCCCATGGAACCTTCTCCAAAATAGATAATATCCTAGGGCACAAAACAAGCCTCAACAAATATAAGAAAACAGAAATTATACCGTGCATACTATCTGATCACAATGCATTAAAACTAGAACTCAACAACAAAAATAAAGACAAAAAACATGCAAACAGCTGGAAACTGAATAACTCATTACTTAATGAACAATGGTCATTGATGAAATAAAAGAGGAAATTAAAAAGTTCCGAAGTCAATGAAAATGAAAACACACCTACCGGAACCTATGGGACACAGCTAAGGCAGTCCTGAGAGAAAGTTTATAGCCATGAGTGCATATATTAAAAAGACTGAAAGATCCCAAATCAATGACCTAATGATACATCTCAAACTCCTAGAAAAACAACAAGCAAATCCCAAAACAAATAGAAGAGAGAAATAATAAATAAGAGCTGAAATCAACGAAATAGAAACCAAAAAAAACCATACAAAGAATTAATGAAACAAAAAGTTGGTTCTTTGAAAAAATAAACAAGATCGATAGACCCTGGCAAACTGACTAAAATGAGGAGAGAAAAAACCAAATTAGTAGAATCAGGAATGCAAAAGGGGAGATAACACAAACACCATGGAAGTCCAGGAAATCATCAGAGACTACTTTGAGAACCTATATTCAAATAAATTTGAAAATCTTAAAGAAATGGAAGATGAGATCATCCAAACTGAACCAAGAGGAAATTAATCACCTGAATAGATCTATAACACAAAATGAAATGAAGCAGCAATCAAGAGTCTCCCCAAAAAAAAAGTCCAGGACCTGATGGATTCTCTGCTGAATTCTATCAGACCTTTAAAGAAGAACTGATCAACCCTCCTTAAACTGTTCCAGAAATAGAAAGGGAAGGAAAACTGCCTAACACATTTTATGAAGCCAGTATTACACTTATCCCAAAACCAGGCAAAGACACCTCCAAAAAGGAGAACTATAGGCCAATCTCCTTAATGACATTGATGCAAAAATCCTCAACAAAATAATGGCAAACCAATTCAAACACATCAAAAAGATTATTCACACGACAAGTAGGCTTCATCCCAGGGATGCAGGGTGGTTCAACATACGAAAATCAATAAAACGTAATAAACCACATTAACAGAAGCAAAGACAAAAACCACTTGATCATCTCAATAGATGCAGAAAAAGCCTTGATAAGATCCAAACACCATTTCATGATAAAAGCTCTAAGAAAACTAGGAATAGAAGGAAAGTCCTCAAACATTATAAAAGCTATATATGACAAACCTACAGCCAGCATTATACTTAATGGAACTGAAAAAAACCATTCCCTCTAAAATCAGGAACCAGACAAGGATGCCCACTATCTCCACTCCTATTCAACATAGTACTGGAATTCCTAGCCAGAGCAATTAGGCAAGAAGAAGGAATAAAAGGAATACAAATAGGTAAAGAAACTGTCAAAATATCCCTATTTGCAGCGACATGATCCTATACCTTAAAGACCCAAAAAACTCTACTCAGAAGCTCCTAGACATCATCAATAGCTATAGCAA